AATGTGTCTCCTGTAGGCAACAAATGAAATGAAGACACAGGGAGTGGAGAGATAGACAGAGAGGGAGAGAACCTTCTGTCCTCTGCTTCACTCCCCCAGTGCCCACAGTAGCCAGGGCTGAGCTGGTCCAGCACCAGGGACCTTTAACTCCATCCAGGTCTCCAACACAAACAGCAAGGACCCGAATCTTTCTTTTCCATCATCTGCAGCTTCCTAGGATGCATAAATGGGAGTCTGGATGGGAAACAGGACAGCCTGGACTTGCACCAACTCTCCCCTACTTTCGGAACTTGATAGGCGTGTGTGTGTGTATGTGTCCATTTTCATACTTGCATCTGACTTTTATAGTTTTAATTTCTTGGTGGATATGAATGTCAACCATCTTTCCCAGCTGTATCTTCATTGGGAAAGTTTCATTTCAGAATCTTGGCCTCATTTTGAGTCATATTTTTTCTTTCTGTGGTGTTTGAGAGTTCTTGCCTTATTTTGGATACTGTTCTGTTTTGTCAAATGTGTGATTTTCTTTTATTTTGTCCCTCTTTGTAGGTTGTCTTTGCATCTTTTAATGTGTGTGTCGCAGAGCAAATGCTTTTGATTTTGAAGGAGTCTTTTTTTTTTAATTTCCTCCCTCATGACTCTTGCTTTTGGTGTCATAGCCAAGAATTCATTGCCTATATCAAGGTCACAAATATTTTTTCCAGAAATTTTATCATTCCATTTTTATTATAATCTGATCTAGTTATAAAGTGATGTTTGAATCTGATAGAAAAAGTTGGCCAGGGTTCATTTGTTTATTTGAAGTTCAGATTGATAGGGCCCAGTTTGGTAGCCTAGTGGCTCGCCTTGCACACCTGGAATCTCATATGGGTGCCAGTTCTAATTCCAGTAGCCCCGCTTCCCATCCAGCTCTCTGCTGGGAAAGCAGTCAAGGATGGCCCAGAGCCTTAGGACCCTGCATCCATGTGAGAGACCTGGAACAAGCTCCTGGCTTCGGATCGACTCAGCTCTAGTTGTTGTGGCTACTTGGGGAGTGCATCAGTGGATGGAAGATCTTTATCCCTCCTTCATTCTGTAAAAATCTGACTTTCCAATAAAAATTTTAAAAAGAAAGAAATTCAGACTGTTAGAGACAAAAGGAGATGAGGAGACGAAAGGAGAGAGACAATGAGAAAGAGAAATCTTCTGTTCACTGGTTCAGTTTCCACGTGGCCACAACAGTCTAAACTCCAACCTGATCCACCATCTGTGTAGCAAGAGCGAACTCACTTGGGCCGTCCTCCACTGCCTTTGCAGGTGCCTTAACAGGACGTTGGATCAGAGCAGCTGGGATTCAAACCAGTGTTGCAGAGTGGCATGGTGCTGCTGGCAGCTTACCCCACTGTACTGTGTCGCCAACCTCTGTGTGTAGGAGTCTCTGTTGATGCTTGAAGTGATGAGCCCCTCCCTCTGGCCACCAGGCTTCCGGTGAGCATCTGTGGTCATTCTGGGTCCGTTCTTTAGAGTGTCCATGCTGTGTCCATGCCTTCAAGACTTGCCTTCAGGTTGACTGCGGTGAGTCGTGGTGGGGATTTCTTCGTGTATGTATGATTTGAGATTGGCTTTGCTTTATAAATATATGAATCTCTTTTATCAAACCGAGGAAGTTTTAGCTACTTACTCTTCGAGTTTTTCCTCTTTTGGCATATCTTCTTTTTCTTTGTGGGGGAGTTGGATGATAGAAATATTTGCTCTTTGTGGTATTTCCAAGGGCCTCTGTGGCGTTTGAAGTTGGTCTGTTTGGTTTGGTTTAGCCTATTTTTGCTGTTATGCAGACTAGCAATCTCCACTGTACTTGCTTCTAGCTTAGTGGTTCTTTCCTCTTTCCATTCGGTCATTCGAATTAGTCTGGTTCCTTTAAGCATGTATAGAACTGCATATTGGAGGGTTTTTTTTTTTCTCATATAATGAATGCTTTGGAATCTTTTTCAAAGAATCATGATGGTGTTGGGGCAGGGCTGTTGCGGTGGCCTACTGGGCTATTCCTCTGATTGCAGTGCTGACATCCCACACAGGCACTGGTTCTGATTTGAAAAAGCAGCAGAGGAGGGCACACCCATGTAGGAGACCTGAATAAAAATCCTGACTTTGGATCAGCTCAGCTCCTGCCGTGGTGACTAATTGGGGAGTGGATGGTAGGCCGTCTGTCTGTGTCTCCTCTCTGTAAAATCTGGCTTTCAAGTAGAAACCAATACGTGTTTTTTTTTTTTAAAGGTGCGTTTCATTTTTTTAAAAAAGTTACTTTTTATGATTATCATTTTATTTTAAGATTTATTTTTATTATTTTTTTATTGGAAAGGCGGATATACAGAGAGGAGATACAGAGAGGAAGATCTTCCGTCCAATGATTCACTCCCCAAGTGAGCGCAACGGCCGATACTATGCCAATCCGAAGCCAGGAGCCTCTTCCGGGTCTCCCACGCGGGTGCAGGGTCCCAAAGCCTTGGGCCGTCCTCGACTGCTTTCCCAGGCCACAGGCAGGGAGCTGGAAGGGAAGAGGGGCTGCCGGGATTAGAACCAGCGCCCATATGGGATCCCGGGCGTGCAAGGTGAGGACTTAACCACTTGCGCCACCACGCCGGGCCCTATGATTATCATTTTATGATAAGTTCCATAGGCCCTGGGATTTCCCTTATCCCCTCCCCAATTCCCTCCTGCCGCACTGAGTTCCCCTGTATCATTACTATAGTATAGTTCTTCATACACAGTCACATGTCTATTATAGTGGGCATGGACAAGGGCATAGAGTCCAGCATCCTATTGGTACATTTCATTTTTATTTGAAAGGCAGAGTTACAGAGAGAAGGACAAATGGCCAGATCTATTTGCTGGTCTACCCCGCAAATGGTATGCACAGCCAGAACTGAGCCAAACTGAAGGCAGACCCTGGGGAATCCATCTAAGTCTCCCATTTGAGTTCGGGAGTCTGAAGACTTGGGCCATCTTACGCCACTTTCCCAGGCACCCTAGCGGGGAACTGAATCGGAAGTGGAGCAGCCGGGCCTCGAACCTGGGCTGCAGGTGGTGACCTAAGCTAGTAGGCTACACATCCAGTCATTATTTTTTGAAGTTCAGTTTGTGTTTACTGGTTCTTGGTATGGTAAGTTTTATTGAAGTCCTGATCTCATCAGTAGGAGAATTTGGCCATCACTTAAACGTTGAGGTTTAGGTGTTCTCAGGTCTTGCTTTAGTGGGAGATGGGGGAGTACTGCTTTGCAGCTGCTGAGCAAGGTAGATGCGCAGATGCCCTGTTTGACCCTTGCTGGTCCTCCACCCTGCCTGGAAGATGGAGGCAGTCCTTGTTACTGTGGGGTGGAAGTGAGAATGCTGGCTCCCTGCTGGGCCTCCGCCAGCCTGGGAGGAGTTGAGGAGCCTCCTTGTTATGCTGGCCCTCCACTGATACTCAACAGGGTAGCCTGCTCACTGCTGGGCATTGGCGAAGCTCTGTCTGCCTGGGCCTCCTGCAACAGGGAGCAGGACAGTCACTCCATTGTCACCAGGGGATATACTGGCCACCTGTGTGATGCCTCCTGCGTTGCACGGTAGTGACCGACGGGCTGTCTCTTGGCACTACCTTCTCCGCTGAGGAACATCAGAGTACCTGCTTACAACCCGGTAAGAGCGGAGAGCAGGCTCCCTCCTCGGCTTCTAATGGCATCCATGGAGTAGCCCAAGGGTACTTCCTCTGTGGTTTTGGTTGTTCTTTAAACATGGTTTTTCTTTAAAATTTATCTTATGGGCCCAGCATGGTGGCTTAGTGGTTAAAGTCCTCGCCTTGAATGCACCAGGATCCTATATGGGCGCTGGTTCTAATCCCTGTGGCCCGGCTGCCCATGCAGCTCCTTGCTTGTGGCCTAGGAAGGCAGTTGAGGATGGCCCAAAGCCTTGAGATCCTGCACCCATGTGGAAAGAAGTTCCGGGATCCTGGCTTTGAATTGGCTCAGCTCCAGCCATCGCGGTCACTTGGGGACTCAATGTTGGATGGGAGATCTTCGTCTCTTTCCTCCTCTTTGTATATCTGACTTTGCAATACAAATAAATAAATCTTAGGAAAAAAAGAAAGCTTACTATGTGACACTCTTGTTGAGGCTTTGGCTAAAGGGTCCAGGCTGCCATGGATGACTTGTTTTGGCAATGCCCGTGTGTGTGTTAGGTTTCTGGTTTCTGAGCTACAGGAAACAGGCATCTGGGTACCACCTGGTGCCTGGGCTTTCTTCGTCTCTGCCTTCTCACCTCTTTTTAGCCTTCTGACATTTGTTATGAATTTCAACAGCCCTGGCCATTCAGTTAAATTAGCAAAAGGGATTTATCAAATATATCCAGTCCATCATCCCAGTTCCAGCGTCCAGGGTCTTTCACTGAATGTGGCCATCTCAGGCTCAAGCCCCCCACCACCCACCACCCACCCACACACCAGCTGTTGGAAGCCTACTAGGACTCTGCACTGTAATGGCTGGCTATGGGTCCTTGCTCAGATTTCAGCTAACTTTGCTCAGTTGTTTGGGTAAGGTCAAGGGGCATGGGTGGGGGAATCTACTTATTATATCTGGGAACAAAAGAACCATGTGTGTGTTCCAGGTTCCAGTCTGTAACAGTAAATCCTTGTAAGGCTGGGCAACATCCAGCCCATGGGCCATCTAAGACCCATTAAATCGTTAGGACTAGCCCTGCCAAGGCACCCACAGAAAGCAATCAAAATTCAGTATGTCTGAAAAAGGCTCATTTTTAAGGTGAAGATTTTCTGTAGTTCAGATAATAAGTATCCAAATGACCCTTGGCAGAAAAAAAGGTTTCCCAACCCTGCACACTCCAGAGTGTGATGTTTGTAGAGTGTTCATATTTAAGCTCACCCCACAGACCTGCTGCCCCAGGGCAGCCCTGGAATGGAGAGAGTGGGCAAGAATTAGGAGGTTGTGATGTTGGTTTTCTTACTGATCCATTTTTTTTTTCCGTTTTCTCTTTAGGGCAGAAAAGACTGAAGTTCTAAGTGAAGATCTCCTTCAGGTAAGGTTGTCCTAAAGATCAAGTTGTTTTCTCTTCCCAAACACCATTTCAGATGCTGAACTGTTCTGCCTCCGCCTCGTGGGAACTCTTCAGAAACACAAGCCATACTCTTTCCCCACTTTGCACGCTGAGCACAGCCCTCTGTGCACACGGATCCACATCATGGACTGAGCCTACTTCAGAGCAAAGTGTTACAGTGTCTCAAGTGAAAAATTTTTCCCCATCATTGCTACTGAAGCAATACAGTCTGAACACTATTTGCAGAGGGTTGGCATTGCGGTAGGTTTCATGAGTCGTTGAGAAATGATGCAAAATATAGAGAATGTAAGTTATAGGGTTTATTATGATTTTTTAAATTCATTTATTTGAAAGGCAGAGTTACAGAAAGAGGGTGAAAGAGAGACAAAGGGAGCTGTTCCATTCACTGATTTACTCCCCACATGGCCAATAAGGATGAGGGTTGATCCAGGCCAAAGCCAGGATTTTGAACTCTGTCCGGGTCTCCCACGTGGATGCAGGGTCCCGAGAGCTTGGGCCATCCTACACTGCTTTCCCGGGTGCGTGAGCAGGGAGCTGGATGGGAAGTGGTGCATCCTAGAGGATGCTGGTGTTGCGGGCAGTGGCTTAACTCTGCGCTGCACAATACCAGCCCATTCAGTATATGGGAGTTGATCATCCAGGGATGTTAGTACCTGCAGGGCTCCCAAAGCAATCATCTGTGGCACTGAGGGACAGTGGTACAAGAGATTTTAAGTAATTTTATTACCTACTGAGCAGATGAGCCCAAAGTCCACGGTGACCCTGTCCTTGGCACTCCAGCAATGGAGATGATGTTCCCCTCTCAGAAGTCCTTGTCTCCATTGAGAGCCGGGTCATGTCGTCCAGGCCGATCTTGCCCTCACAGCATGACTCCACCTGCTCCTCTGTCTGCAGGTGGAGAAGCGCCTGGAGCTGGTGAAGCAGGTGTCCCACAGCACACACAAGAAGCTCACCGCGTGTCTGCAGGGCCAGCAAGGGGCAGAGGCCGACAAGCGCTCGGTAAGTACCCTCCCAGCCCCAGGCAGCTGCACGCTGCCCACTGTGGCCATTCAGCTGCCTGGGCATCCGGGCAGCAGCCCTTGCTGGGTGTTTGTCTGCAGGGTCAACAACCTTCCCACTGTGCTTGCTTGTTAGCCCCAGCTGCTGCAACCCGGCCCACCCAGCCGGGCAGTGACCTTGACCTCCCCGGAAGGACCTGCTTGAGCTCTCACTTGTAGGAAACTTTGGCCTCGATGCACATCTCTCCCCTGTGGCTTGCTCAGCAGTTGCATCTGCCCTTATAGCACTTTAAAATCTTCTGGGGAGATAAAGAATCTTTGTGGCTGTTGGTTACAAGTACCCTTCACCATAGTGAGATAGTAAGGAGAGCCTGATGGCCAAAGCTTCGATGTCTCTGTTTTAACCTGCATCATAACAGCAGGCTATTGTCCAATGTGATTCTACTCAGCAGTCCTTGGGATAGACAGGTTTGGCAGGCTTATTTCTCTGCTGACCCACACTGTCTACCTCTACCAAGGATTCAAACGATATGCTTGGGCATTCACTAAGCTTTAATATGAAGAATACACACTTCAGGTATTTTTTCCTTTCCTTTCCCCTTCCTTGAATTTACGTGTTTTCTATGTGTTGGATGGTTTTTGACCATGTTCTCATGGTCTCCGTGACCTCCCCCCACCCGCCCAGTTGTCTTTGTTTAGCTCTGTGGACCTGCCTTGTTGTGTGGGTGAAGTATTATACCTGCATTTTAACTGTAGTCCATTGCGTGAGGCTAGCTGTGGAATTTTCCATTGGAGACTTCATGTTGCAGCTAAGACGGCATCATATTTTTGAGGATTTTGGAATTTTAAATTAGGGATGTTCAACTGGCATTACATTCAAAACAAGTCAAATAATGTCCCTCTTCTGCCTGATTCCCATCACCGGATTTCCAGGGAAGTCTCCTTCCCTGGGCCTTGGGCCCCCATGATGTGTCTTCTCTCTGCCTGTCCGAGCTCAGCTCTTGCTCTGCTCTCTCCTGGAACCTCTGCAGCTGCTCCACCCACGGTAGGGGAAGCCCTGACTCAGCAGCTTCAGGTTGGCCACTTCTCACTTCTCAGCTCAGGTGTCACTCCCATGTGGCTTTCTCAGTCCCCTGCCATGTTTGATCTCTCACCCTCTGTGTTTCACAAATCTATTTTCTGTCTCTAAGGGCTGTTCATTTTGGTATTTTCTAGAAGTAGAATCATATACAATGTGGAGTTTTGTGCCAGTCTTTAGTATTTCACGAACATGATGTCTTCAGGGTTCATCTATGCCATAGCTTGTTTCAAGACTGGGGTCTGGTTTTTTTTTTTTTTTTTTGAAGATTTATTTTCATTGGAAAGTCAGATATATGGAGAGAAGGAGAGACACAGAGGAAGATCTTCCTTCCACTGATTCACTCCCCAAGTAGCTGCAACGGCCAGAGCTGTGCTGATCTGAAGCCAGTAGCTTCTTCTGGGTCTCCCACGCAGGTGCAGGGTCCCAAAGCTTCAGGCCGCCCTTGGCTGCTTTCCCAGGCCACAAGCAGGGAGCTGGATGGTAAACGGGACTTCCAGGATTAGATCCGGCACCCATATGGGATCCTGGCACATGCAAGGCGAGGACTTTAGCCGCTAGGCTACCATACTGGGCGCAAGACTGCGGTTCTTTTCAGGCTGAGTAATATTCCACTGTCTAGCCATTCCACTTTTTATTCATCCACTGATGGAGGTTTGATTGAGTCCGCATTTTACTTCCTTGATGTTGCCCATCACGTTTACATACACAATCATAACAATCATATTAATTCTATGTCCAGGTACATAGATTTAATGTGATCTATCCATGAGTGGAATTGCAGTGTCCTGCTGTAATTGTTGAACTTGGCTGTGCCATTGGACATTGTCACTGAAGGTGCATGAAGCGTCGGTTCTCTCTGTACTCACTATTTGTTTTTTCCCTGTTTGGAGTTGCCTCGCCGGTGAGGGTGAGGTGGTGGCTGTGTCACTGGCCTTGGATTGTCTTTCCTTAATCACTGATGAAGATGAGCGACTTTTCGTGTGTCTCGGCCATCTGTGTGTCTTGCTTGGACTCTCGCTGTACTTGGATATGTTATCTTCTTGGGGCACTCGCTATTTCTTGACCTCAAACTACTTTATTTAAAACCCGAGCCTAATATACTCTTCAAGAGAGAGAGATTGAGTTGTTTTTTAAATGAGTGCATTATTGAAACCTTTGTTCGCATCATTAAAAAATTTTTCCCCCTTCTTGCTGACCTATTTTAAAAACCTTGGGTTTATTTTTCCCAGAGTGGCAGGTTTAATTCAGGTTTATGATGCTGTTACATCTCCAACCCATTGTTACATACTGTGAGTTTTCACACTGAAGTATGGTTTTCTTAAAGCCGACTCATGCCTTGCTGTCCAGGCAAGCGTTAAACTTGCTCACTGATTTAGAGTAAAAGTCGGGAGTAGTTTTGGTGATGATGTTTATTTTCTTTTCAGAAAAAGTTGCCTTTGACAACGCTGGCTCAGTGTTTGATGGAGGGGTCAGCCATCCTGGGCGATGACACACTTCTCGGGTAAGGTGACACCGTGCGTGGGTTTGTGCCTCATGTAGATGTGTCCCCCCATCCACCGAAAGGGAGATTAGAATCCCCGATGGAGGCACCCAGCTTCTGGGGACTCGGGCAGGGGACTGAATTCATTTGGGAAGAAGAAAATGCTCCCAGCGAGAAACCAAAACCCTGGCCCGCAGTCATTCCCCGGGTGGCCAGGCACGTCCCTTTGGAGGAATTGACATGAAACCCTGTGAAAGACACTGGGGCCCTAGCAGAAGCGTAAAGTGACACTGTGACATCTGATGTCACCGCTCAGGGCACTCCCAGAGGGGATGGGCCTGGCTGACCGGAGCTCCCAGAAAGGCGAATCCCAAAATAGTTGCCAGAAGAGAGCATCTACAGCTTCTCCTGTAATCGGTCGGAAAATCAAAGCCTAAAGAACAAAAAATACTAAGGAAACAACATGAAGAAACGCCCAGTTGTTGAAAATGAAATTTAGGGATTTGCTCCAAAGGGACATGGCGGGGTTAAGACACAGCCTGCACCGCCGACCTCCCATGTGAGTGCTGATTCAGGTTCCTGCTGCTCTGGTTCTAATCCATCTCCCTGATACTGCTCCTGGGGAAGTAACAGAGAAAATGATGCAGCGACTTGGGCCCCGGCCAGCCACATGGGAGACCCAGGAGGTGCTCCTGGCTCCAGCCTAGCTCAGCCCTGACCGTAGTGGCCATACGGGGAAAGTGGATGAAAGATGCTGGCTCTTATTCTCTCTCCATTTGTAACTCTGCTGTTCCAATAAATAATTTTTTAAAAGAAAGATTAAATTCCACAATGACTCCTCAGCAATCGCCAAAAACCCAAACTGTGATGAATGGGTAGAAATGAAGAAAAACAAATGAGAACTTTTTAAAATTTGTGCAGTTGTACCACTACCAGCGTGGTAGCCTAGCAGCTAAAGTCATCGCCTTGCACATGCCAGGATCCCTTTTGGGCGCCGGTTCTAATCCTGTAAGCCCCATTTCCCATCCAGCTCCCTGCTTGTGGCCTGGGAAAGCAGTCAAGGACGGGCCAAAGCCTTGGGACCCTGCACCTGCATGGGAGACCCGGAGAAGGCTTCTGGCTCCTGGTTCCATATCTGTTCAGCTCTGGCGGCTGTGGCCACTTGGGGAGTGAACCGGCAGAAGGAAGATCTTCCTCTGTGTCTCCCCTCCTCCCTGTATATTTGACTTTCAAATAGAAATAAATGAAGGCGATCTCAGTTCTTGTCTCATTTCGAAGGCGGATTTCCTACGTGGACCGGAATGGTGAGCAAAGCAAGACTTAAGGAAGCGAGAACCCAGCTACTGCAGCAATGAGCAGCCCCCTTTATGGGAATTTGTTTCCTTCTCAAATTGCCTTCAGCTCATAATAATACTTATGACAAAGTGGTATATTTTAAGGGTGCTGCTATTTTTCATAGTAAAGAAATATAAATAACCGTTCAGTTTAACAAGTGGTGATACGGTAATGATTTATTGAGAAGGGTTGAAAAAATAGACTAACAGCACAAAGCGTGTTCAAGCTCTTGCATCGCTTGTAGGGAGGGTAAAAATAGTTCATTGAAATTTGATGTCAAGTGTACAGGTTGGAGAAGTGACCCACAGGAATAACAGAAGAATGAATATCTTCCAAAGTAGAAAAATGATGAAATAAATGAAACAAAATTTTAAAAACTGGAAGAGGAAGGGGATGAAAATCCAAACACGTAAGCTCACAGAGAGAATACTAAGTGGAAAGCAAAAAGGGAATGTAATAGAAGTTAGAGCATGTTTATCTGCAGTGAAAAGAGATGTGAACGGAGGGAATCCAGCCGTCTCGGTGAACAAACATGAACTGTATCGTGCAGTATTTCTAGGAGACGTGCCAAAAATATAATGACAGCAAGGTGCAAGATGGGAGACTGAATGTACATCTGATTTTATTCCCTTCCAGCATCAGCTAGAATTCTAATAAGGGGGTTCCCTCTCCTTGAAAAGGTACAGATTCACAAATGCAGGAAAAAGAGGGTGGCGGGTAAAGACGACAACGGGGGCGCAATTTTGCAAGGTGTACCATTTGATGTGGCAAATCCAAGCCAAAAGTCAGCTCTGCAGAGAACAGTGGCGTGTGTGCTCCGACGACGCTGTGCCGATCAACCCTGGATAGTGGGTCTTGGAAGGTGCGTGTGGAGTGAAGGCACAGCGAGCACCCCTTGCATCACTGAAGCCCTGCTGTTGCTACACCTCAGAGGGATAGTCGTTCCTCCCACCTCTGCTCCAGCAGAAACATGAACACTTCTAGGCTTTGCAAAGAGCAGCAGTAGAAACTGGAAATGGAGGAGGCTGTGCCCTCACAATGCTGAAGATGCTCAGCATGGGACTCGGTGTTAACCTCAAGTGTCGGCGGATGTGAGATTGGAGAAGAAAGGTTGAAACACCAAGCCTTAAACCTGGACCTCTTACGTACTCTTTTCTAAGAACCTTGTCAGGGACTGTCGGAAAATGGACAACAGGATAACAGGACCGAAGGAGAGGAAATTCCAGGAGAGGAAGGAGGATTCTGGGCAGCCAGCTGTGTCCCTAGGGATAGAAGACAAAACTCTTTAAAAAAAAAGTTATTTTCTCTAGGAAAACATGCAGGAATGACCCAGAATTACACTCTGCTCCAAGTGCAGATTGAGTATCCTTTATTGGAAATACCTGGGGCCAGTGAAGTTTCAGATTTTTAGAAGCTTTTTATTTTAAAAAAAGATTTTTTTTTTTGGAACTATTTACATCCATGTTACAGATTGACCATTCCTCACTGGAAAACTCCAAAGCTTGAAATGCTTCAAAAATCTGAAAACTTAACAAATTTGGATTTCCAATTTTCTGATGAGGGTTGCTCAGTCTGTAAATACAGAATCAGAGTGGTCGTGGATGGAGCACACTCGGCCCGGCAGTGACTGACTACAGCAGGCCTGTGTTCCCCACAGGAGTGCCAGGCTTCAGTACCCAGCCCTGGTTCCTGCCCCTGCCTTCCTGCCAATTCAGACAGACCCTCAGAGGCACAGTGGTAGCTCACGTGGTTGAGTTCCTGTTGCATGGGAGGTCTGGGTATGCATTCCTGGCTCCTGGCTTCATTCACTGCCAGCTGTTGGCAGGCACGTGGGGAGTGAACCAGCAGATGGGAAATCTGTCTGTGCCTCTAAAAACACACAGAGAACACTGTATAAATACAGGGAGGGACGGGAAACAGACACACAGCGGAAGTCTCATTTTATAGAGACGAGAGCCAGTAGCTCATGCGCACACTGTTTACTGAACTAGAAATGTGGTGGGTAAATAAAAGAAAATCAGTTAAAAGGCACCACTGGGAAAGAAGCAAGGGAAAAGCACAACCTTGGGGTTGATGCTCTCAGCAGAGAGCACCTGCTGTGTGTTCACAGGCCCGCACGTCAATATTTAAAGAAATCCTGCGCATAGACCCTGTGGAATGTTAGCTAGGGGCGGTGAAAAGGCCTTCTGGGACCAGGAGCCCTGAGCTGAGCAAACCACAGCACATCGAGTCCTCATACCCATTCCAGATCACCCTGAAATAAAGTGTGCATCCCTTGATGCACAGTGAGCGCCAGGACAAGATGATGATCCCTGGCAGAAACTCGGATATATCCCCACAGCCAGGGTGGGCGAGGGTGTGGGTCAGTGGGATTGCTCCTTTGCATGTTGGAAGTCTTACCAAGAGACTGCACACACAGCCCTGCCTATAATAGCCAAAGGCTCTTGCTATGCGGAAAGCTTACAAAATGGTGGCACATTCATAGAGTGGGATTCTGGAGGGCAAAGAAGTCCGAGTCTGCATATCCAGTAGTCCCCTCTTTGCCCGCTGGGGGGATGTTCTGAAGTCACAGTCCTCCTGGCCCCAATGTGCACTTTATTCCTGCAACAGTTTTATTTATACAGTTAGGCGCAGGAAGAGCATGACAGAAGTCATGATACGTAGCCGGGACCCCACCAGCGTATCAACCCTGACTGATGTGCTGAGTGACTGGTAATGAGAGCTGCACTCAGCCAGTGGTCACCTCTGAGGTTATTTGGTGTGATTTTCTCCCCCTTGGGCTGCAGGAAGATGCTGAAGCTTTGTGGGGAGACGGAGGACAAGCTGGCGCAGGAACTGATCCACTTTGAACTGCAAGTTGAGAGAGATGTGATTGAGCCCCTGTTTCTGCTGGCAGAGGTAAGATGCGATAAGGAGGCCAGGACTCCCGGATTGTAAGAAGAATCCGCCATCGTTTCTGCTGCTTCCACACTTAGTCATTGTTTCCCTTTGTTTAAACAAGAAAGGATTTGTTTATTTATTTGAAAAGTGGAGCAAGAGAGACAGATCTTCCATTTATTGGTTCACTCCCCAGATGATTGCAATAGCCAGGGCAGGGCCAGGCTAAAGCCAAGAGCCCACTGGAACTCCCACGCAAGCTAAAGCCAAGAGCCCCTGGAACTCTCACGCAGGCTAAAGCCAAGAGCCCCTGGAACTCCCACGCAGGCTAAAGCCAAGAGCCCCTGGAACTCTCACGCAGGCTAAAGCCAAGAGCCCCTGGAACTCCCACGCAGGCTAAAGCCAAGAGCCCCTGGAACTCCCACGCAGGCTAAAGCCAAGAGCCCCTGGAACTCCCACGCAGGTCTCCCACATGGGTGACGGGGGCCCAAGTACTTGAGCTGTCAACTGCTACCTCCCCAAGCATATTAGCAGGAAGCTGCACCAGAAATGGAGCGACTGGCATTCCCCTTGGCGCTCTGATATGGGATGCTGGCATCACAAGCAGTGGCTGAACCTACTGCATCACCCCACCAGCCCCTCCCACCACCGCATTGATTTTCATCAGGAATTATTCCTGCCACATCATAATCAAGGAGTCCACACGTGGCACCCTGATCCCTCTTGCTGGATGTCATGCCACTGGATAGATACAAAGCGGACAGTATTTCCTCCTTCCCCAATCTTGTGTGTACTGCCATTATCCCTGCCTCTCCTCACCCACCCATCTCAAGTCTTCCTGGAAATTAACAGCAGGCCCTCTCCACCAGGCTCACTGGGGACCCATGGTCCTGAGGCTCTCTAAGGGCTTCTGCCCTTATTTACTTTTTATTCTCTTATATTTATTTTTATTGGAAAGGCAGGTCAGACTTAAAGAGAGACAGGAAAATCTTCCACCCACTGGCTCACTCCCCAAATGACTGCCGTGGCTGAGTCGATCTGATGCCAGGAACCAAGAGCTTCTTCTGGGTCTTCTATGTGGTAATAGGGTCCTAAGGCTTTAGGCCATCCTCTATTGCTTTCCCAGAGCACAAGCAGGGAGCTGGAAGGGGAGTGGAGCTGCTGGGACCCGAACCAACACCCTTGTGGGATTCCGATACTTGCAAGGTGAGGATTTAACCATTGAGCCATTGCGCCTGGTCGCAGCTGGTGTTTATACTGGTCCCTACCCGCTTGGACCTTAATGGACACTAAACTCAAATTGCTGATGAAGAGGCAATCTTAATATCTATATGACAGTTTTGCTAGCATCCATCTAGTGGAATCTTCTTGAGGGAGACAGGAAGTGATTGAGAGTGTGGTTTTAGTTGTTCTGGACACTGGTACCCTCCCTGTTGCCTTTAATTGACTTTATGCTAAACAGGTGGTTAAGCCATAACACACAATGCCAGTTTCCCACATGGGCGCTGGTTTGTCCTAGCTGTTCCACTTCCCAGCCAACTCCCTGCTGATGCACCCAGAAAAGTAATGGAGACTCAGTCAATACTGCCGTTTGGGGAGTGAACCCACTAGTGGATGGAGGACCCACCCCTCTCCATAACTCTGCCTTTCAGGGAAATAAAATACATCACTGGGGGAGGAAGGGAAGGGAAAGAAACCTGAGCAGCACTTTAGCCTGGAACTCCTTGCCATGGAGAGACAGCCTCCATCTTCAGTTTGCTGACCCCTTACCTATGTGGCTTTTGAGTGCTTAAAATATGAGTAGTGTGGCTTAAAACTCAATGTTTATTTTAACTTGTGGTCATGTAAATTTAGACCTTCATAGACCAAGCTGGCTAGAGGTTTATGTGTCAGGCAAGCACTGCCCTAGCCCTGTGCTTGGTTTCTTCTGGGTGTCCGCATACCCCCTACGGAAGGGCTGTTTTGGCAGGGGCAGGTGGGTGATTCTAGCGTTGTTGAGAATTCTAGGAGAGAATCCTGGACTTGGTGCTATGACGCTAGCCAGCGCTAGCTTGCCCAACCTCCTGCCTATGGTCAGGGATCGCTAGCCAGGAGCAGTCATGGACATGTACCTGCTTTTCCTAAGGTGCCCTGCAACCTTGGCTCAAACCCAATGCAAACCCGGGAGCAAGACTGACATGTATGCTGAAACATGCCTGGCTAGCCTGGGCAGCTTGCATGTGCAGCCGTGGCGACTCCCCAGTGCTCCCTGGTGGTCCCTGAGGGGCTGTGATGGTGGCCCTCTTCCTGCCTGAAGCTGTGACATTCAGCCCCGTCCCTCGCACCTGCTCCGCAAACAGCATAGGATATATTGCACCGAGCATGGGGCCTTCCTCGCATTTCCCATCGCAGCCCACCATGACTATAGTACAGATGATGACCAATTTTCTTTTGTAAATATCACATCCTGTTCTAGTTTTGCTGGGCCTGGAAACCGCACCCCCCCCCCCAAAATATCCTGCCTTAGAATAAAGTCATTTTTAGTAAGAAAAAAAAATGAAAAGAGTGGCTGCATGCGACCAACATGGAAGAGCTCCTGGCTGGTAAAAGACACGGTGGTAATGTTGATTCATGATGGGCTCTGGAGGAAGTCTGACTTGAGGGCTATAAATGTTGAGCCTGCATCCCAGCGGTATTCCTCCCAGCTTTCCGGGTCCCACAAGGCCAGTGTTCCTCCAGCTGCTGTCTGATTGGAATTAGGTCTGTGGGTCAGACCCGACGGTTTGGCTGCCTTGCTTTATCCCCTGGGTGTGTGGCTCTTGTGGCAGGGGAGAGGGAGATGGGATGAGGCCCTGGCTTTTGCTGGTTGGAGTAAGGTGGGCCCAGGTGAGTAGGGCAGCACAGAATCCCTGGGAAGATCGGGGTTGAAGAGGGCTCTGGCGGGTGTCCAGCAAAGAGAGGAGAGCCGCTGAGGAAAAGGAGACTGGATTTCACTTGCAAGTCACTGAAAGGGTACAAAGTTTTATCTATGTGAGACGAGTAAGTTCTGGAGGTCCAATATGCTGTACGGTGTGGATGTAGTTAACATTCTATAGCATGTATTTGAAATTTGAGCAGCCAGCACCGTGGTGCAGTGTGTTAAGCTGGCACCTGTGATGCAAATACCTCGTATCAGAATACCAGTTCCCAGCTGCTCCAGCTTCCTGCTAAGGCACCTGGGAAGGCAACAAAAGATGGCCCAAGTGTTGGGCTCCTGCCACCCACCTGGGAGACCAGGTTGGAATTCCTGGCTCCTGCTTTTGTCCTGACCCAGACCCAGCTGTTGTGACCACTTGGGAAATGAGCCAGCAATGAAGCAGCAAGTGGAAAATCTCTTTCTTATTTCTGCTTCTCATCTTTTATTCTGCCATTCAAACAAATAAGTAAATCTTTTTTAAAAAAAAAAAGCCAAGAGTACATGTTTTAAAAGATTATTTTGATGTGAAAGGCAGAGGAACAGAGAGGAGGAGAGACGAGAGGTCTTCCATCCACTGGTTCATTCCCCAAAAGGTGACAGTGGCTGGAACTGAGCCAGTCTGAGGCCAAGAGTCAGGAGCTTCTCCTGGGTCTCCCACTTGGGTGCAGGGGCCCAAAGACTTGAGCCTTACTTTACTGCTTTTCCAGGCCATAAGCAGGGAGCGGGCTCAAAAGTGGAGCAGCCTGGACACGGCCTGGCACCATTATGGGATGCTGGTGGTACAGATAGAGGCTTGGCTCAGTATGCCACAGCGTAACCCTAAGAGGATAAATCTTAAATGTTCTTACTCTCCTGCAAACACACACACACACAAGAAATGATGCTTAGTAATCCTTTCACGGTGTATGCATACCAAAACACTAAATTGTATACCTAATATACACAATTTCTCCTGTCAATATTTATACCTTGAGGTTGATCAAGAAAGGAAGTGGCAGAAAGGAAGTGGATTCATCTAAAGCAAAGGATCGGGAGGTCTCTAGCCAACTTGTAAGAGTTCTCGAAGAATTTACACTGAACTTCAGCTTAACTGTATCTTTTATCTCCTGTAACCACAGGTAGAAATCCCAAATATTCAAAAACAAAGGAAACATCTAGCAAAGTTGGTGCTGGACATGGATTCTTCACGAACCAGGTAGAGTTTTGTTAGTATTCCTTTCTTCTTGAAAGGAACAGAGATGCCATGTGAGAGTGAGTGAAGGTGGAGGTTTATATGGACTTTGTGTTTCTATTCCACAAGTTGTTCCTAATGTGTACCATGTGCCAGGCCCTGGGCGTCAGGGTATGGAACCAGGGACCTGCCCTCTCAATGATTGCCATTGAATTTCAGAGATGGACACCAGGCAGGTGAACAAACAAGACAGCATTTGGCCACAAAAAAATAACACCAGATCATTTTTAAAAGGGGTGATGAAGAACAACAGTGGAGTGAGAGAAAGCTTTCCTAGGTTGTGTCGTTTGGTCTGAGACTTGAACAGTGAGAAACACGTGGCCGTGCAGAGGTCTGGCCATGAAGAGAGAAGAGCAGGTGCACAGGCCCTATGATGGGAATAGGCCTGGCGTATTCAGGACACAGAACCAAGGCCAGCGTGGCCGAGGTGGAGGCAACAAAGGGGAGCAAAGTAGGGCCTGAGTTCCAAGAGGCAGGCCGGATGACAGCTCCTGTCTGCAGTGATGGGAGCATTCCTGGTTCTCAGGACACTTTTGCTTTCCTCTGAAATTGAAGGTTATCACTGCTTCCTTTCCTGGAGCCCTCCTCCAAACCCGGGGACCCTTCTAAGAGCAGTAAGGCTTCTTAGTGCTCTTCTCCACCCCTCTCTGCATCCACTGGAAACCTCCTGCCCTAACAGGCAAGTGTCAGAGAACAAGGTGGCATCGGATGTGGCTGTGCGTATCTTTTTGTTTGATAGGAGTGTGTGAGTGCAAGTGGCAGGCATGCAGGCTTTTGAATATTAATATGAAAGGAACTGTTTGGTTCTTCTAGGATCTATTTTAATCATCATCTAGCTATCTTAAAATAATAGCATAAAGAGTCTACCTGACTCTACAGCAAGAGTCAAAGGGTCAGGTAGGCACCCAGCTCAAGATCTATTTTCTGAACCTGGGACATGGTCAAGTCATTTCATCTCCTCTGCCCTCACTTGTGCTGGGAAAGAAAGTTTGTGGGTTGACCTAAGGAGACTGTTGAGAATATGCCATGGGATTCTGTGTGTCACACCACTTCCCATGAGCATGCCAAAAGGAAGCTGATACCTTAAAAACTACTTGGTCAACCTGAATTTAGTATCTCAAGCAACAAAAGCTGTGGGGCAGCCCCACAAGACCGGTAGATTCAGTAAGCGGAGAAGCAAGGATCTGTTTGGTTAACTTTTATGCTTTCCAAACCTCGGTTCAGTTCAATCATTTTTTACATCTACGGCTGTGTACCTTTGGGAAGAGTTGACCTTTTTTTTTTTCAAAATAAATTTGTTTGTAAAGGAAATCTTACACGTTGGAAGCCAGTGCCCCTTGCTTCAAGAATGTTATAGACAATCTGAAGGGAAACAGAACAGAAGCAAAGCTGCCATTCATACGTGTTAAGCCCCATTAGGTAGGGAAGATTATCAGCCTGAAACTGCCCTTCCTTTATTAGAAGGAGGATGAGAAGGTGTGGGAGAAATGTCAGAGTTAGTCAGAAGCTATCCGTTTTAGTGTGCTCTGGGGCACCAGAGAGTAGAATGGATGTGGGGAATGTCCAGTGGCTGTGATCACCACATCCTTACACATCCTTGCATGCATGTTGGGAGCCATGAAAGATTCCTGAAGAAATGTCGATTGTCCCAATGAGGTGACTGTCAGGCTCCTGGGGCTGTGGGGTGATTTCCTTCGTAGGGAACTAGAGGCTCAGCTCCCATCTCTTCTACTTCTCTAAAGAAAGGCCAAGTTCCAGAGCAGAGCCACTGGGCAGAGGGCTGAAGCCCGGTATCCAGGCATGCCGTCATCATCTCCGCCATCGTGTCTTTGCGTTGTCTTCTTGGAGTAGCCAGTGGGGCCACAGCCCATGGTGTGTCTTGCCTAGTGTTGGTTTTAGTTTTGACACCGTTTGGTGTGAAGGTGCTGAAAGCTCTGAGCGGTGACTTAGGGATGTGTCGTCCATGATGCAATGCTTTTTCCCCTCTCCAGCTTGTCATCTGTGGTGTCATGGGCTGCATGGGAAGCGTCTGCCTCTCCCATGCAATTTTTCTGCTTCTGAAAGTTTCAACTTGGATCTTTCACAGTCTGTTGTAGGAGACCAAACACATCGTTTTAGGTTAACCTGATCCACCTGCTTCGTCTCTCTGTTGGCTTTGCACAGTGCGCTTGGTGGGATCTGTGAGTTTATAGTGGGCAGTTGCTTTGCAGGGATTGTTTTCATCCAGGCAGCCCCTTCCCATTCTCTCCTAAGACTCGGCTAACTCCCCTTTACGTCTGCTATGGTTACCTCGGGGAGAGATCTAACCAGGGCTTCCAGAGTCTGGGTTCTCTGTGGATCAGGTTCTAGGCAACTGGACCAAAGTGGTGTTCTCAGCCAAGGGGTACACTCTCTGTCCACTTTACTCTCTGGCCTTTGCCAGCCTGAATTTACCTGTCTAGCTGGTGGGTAGGGCGGGGAGGGGAGACTTGCTGAAACCCACAAGGAGAGGCCTACACCTTACACCAGCACTCTTAGTCCCCCTGAGGGCTGTCTCCCAAGATGGCGCAGTAAGAGTGGGGCCACGTGCTACTCTGGGACCATTGGCTGCTCAGAGCCCCACCCCCACATTATGCTGTGTTTGCATGATGCTGATGGCACATGTTAGGTCCTCTTCCTCCTCGCAGCTTCCTGCCTGTGATGACTGAAGCTGTCATTCATGGCCTACCCCTTCCAGAAGTGGAACAGCGCGTACACAGAGAGAGGCAGGAAGGATCCTTTTCTGTATCGTCAGCCTGGGTCTTTGGATTCTAGCACACATCTGGCAGATACCACGACGTGCTGCCGGGTGATTTAGACTGTTAGGAGTTTGATTGGCTGTAATGTATATACATTTGTCCCTATTCAAGTGTAAGCTCAAAGAAGCATTTATGCTGAATTAAAGATTGTGAATGAGACAGAAATGTCTTTTCTGCCATAAGCTATAGGGTTAGCCTGGCAGCGGTTGAAGAAAGAACTCTCTCTTCCCCTCAAGTCAGGCTTGTGTTTTCCTGGGCTAATCCTACCAAGTGCAGTCCATATTCTGTTTCTGTTGAACAGCTGCCCCTGGGTCCTTCAAAGTTCATTACTCCCCGCCAGGTATATCTGTGGATGCTCCACTCTCCAATGGGACTGTTTCTATGGAGATGGAGTCTCTAGAAGGTAATAAAGGTTAAATGAGATCATAAGGGTAGGACCCCAACTCCACATAGAGTTACTCTCTTTGTGCACACGTAGAGGAAAGGCCATCGTGAAGGTATGGGGCATCACAACAGTCGAGGTCACACCGAAAAGAAGTGAACCCTTGGGCTCCAGCCTTCAGACCTGTAAGAACAGAAACTTCTGTCATTATGCCCTATGCTATTTTATTATGCTTGCCATGCTGGGGGCGCAAGTGAACACTCACTCACTTGCCTCTTTTGGAGTTGAATGAGCGGGAGTAAGGAGGAACAGCTTAAGAAGGATGCTGGGCATTCGGGGAATGAGAGAACAGGTGGATAACAAGAAATGGGGTTCTGGAAGCATGGCAGTTTTAAGTCCCTCCCAGAGGTCATTCCTCATCTGCTACCTCTGTGTCTCTCACTGCAGGTCTCTTTTCCTTAGATCCATTTTCTTCCTGCTCTCTGGATGTCCCTGGGGCTTGTGTCTCCCCAGGGTGAGCTCCCTTTGTCTGGACTTGGCTGGTGTGCACAGCACCTTGGCCCACCCATTGGCAAAGGTGGTCAAGGATGACCACAGCTTGGCCTACGTCAGGGGCCCTTAGCTCTGCCACTCTCTGCCAATGTCATACAGAAAAAGGCAGCCCCTTTTGGACCACAATAGGCCATGTGTGGAAGGAAGGCCAGAACTCAGAAAATGGAGGCTGCCGGTACCCGAGAAGACAGATGAAACAGGGCCCCCATAAAGAAACTTCTCTGTTTGCCTTCCAAAGAAAACCCTTCTGCACTTCCTGTTGCCCTGAAGTGAGTCGCCATGGTCTTCTGGACTCGCTCCCTGAAATTCCGAATCTTTGCTTCCCATCCTTTTCTCCCATCCAGACCTTGTTTAAAACGTGTGTCTCATCTTCGTGTCCCAGGCTCCTGCTCCCAGGACCCTGTTTCCCCAGGGATGATGGTGGCACTTCAGCTACTTTGCTGGGAAGATGTCATCGGTCTGCCCTGCTTGGACAGTGTCCAGGCTCCCTGTGCCTTCTCCGAGGGAGCAGAGCAGATGGCTGGAGAAGCTGTCAAGCCCTCAAATCATGCTAATCCCATGACTTCTCCGAAACTATGATTGTTTCTGCATTTCTTGGGAGCTTTTAGTACCGTTTGCCTAGGGAACTGTTTTGGGTTGGGGGCAGGGCAGGTGGAGGAGTCAACTTACCAGGAATTTCAAAGTCAACTTGTTGGCAGTTTCTTATAGGGAGAGAAGAGCTGTGTCCTTTAAAGTTTCATGATATTGACTAAGGTACAGAGTTCAGAAGGAAAAAAAAAAAAGAAGGACATAGGGCAAGTAACGAAAGAAAGCATTTGGGAGAAGTGTTTTTGTTGTAATATATGTGTGTATATTACAATGAAAACATTTATACACATATACATATGGTATAATATGAGGTTTTAAAAAGTGGAATTCAGATTTCCAATGCTATAAAAATCCATTTAGTATTCATACTCGCTGTGTATTTTTTTTTAGCACTTTTATATTGGTTAGTTGCCTTTTTCTTCAGGCAGCGTGAATCAGATGACAGTTGTAACTTGATTTCTTAATCTATAGTGAAGATGTATATTCATCCGAGGTATAAATTTTAGCTGTGACGTTTCATATTTTATTTGTGAAGAAAAAACAAACATCAGTGAACAATTAGCTTTACATTTTTGAGGGGTTTGAGGGGTTATTTTTGGCTTTTATAATTTTTAAATACATAGCTTCCACATAGAGAACACGTGGAATTTGTCTTTCTGTATATG